CTCTCTCTCTCTCTCTCTCTCTCTCTCTCTCTCGTCTCACTCACAAGTACTTACAGGACATCCCATAACACCCATAGGCAAATGATCGACAATGATCAATCCATCCCACATATCTAATTTCCCGTTAATCCTAACCCAACCCATGTTAAGATCGCCACTACGTGTTGTGTCGTTGACTCTACCGAAGCCGGCCATCAGTGCGTACTCTTTGCCGGTGTTATAAATGTCTGCTTTCGGGAGACAAACGCTGTTTACCCGCCGATAGTGTGAGCCCTTCGGGGCCGTGAAGTCCAGCGCAGTGTTCAGTTCAATGAGTCCGATATCCTCGGCGTAAACGCCACCGCTTCCCGGGTATAGCAGTACTCTCTTGACCCCCAGTCCCGGCCCGAGGTTTACCCGCGATATAATATCCGGATATATGGTTACCGTTTCGTTTGTACAATTTTCGCAACTAATGTATTGTTTAACTTTAATAGATTTTATGTAACATTCATATTAATAATATAATTCTTAAAACTGTCACCAAAGTGATATATTTATATATACTGTACATTAAATGCAGTAATAATTTACTGGAAAGTCATCATTATCATTTAATTAATACTGTAAATGCAAAAATACAACCCCAATGAGTACTTACGGTAAGCAATGTTTGGCGGTTATAATCCAGCGCTCGTTCAATATAGTGCCGCCACATATATCGCTGTATTTATTATTTAAATAATTATTATTTTAAATTTAATTTTCAACAGTTATCAATTTAAATTACAGTCAAATGTTAAATACATACGTATAATTAAGACCAGTAATTTTAACAAGAACGAACCAGGGCACATCACCCGACTTGGCCCGTTGGCCATTAAATATACGACTCACTGTATTATCCCTTTTATGATATGAAAAGCAGTTGTTGTCCATCAGTAGTGAATCCCTGGATATCCCGCACTCATCGGTAGTAATGTTGGGATATTTAGCCATTTCTGCGTGAAATGCATTACTTGTCATACAATACATACCAAAAGCTATATTTTATTAAAATAATTAAACATTACTCTAATTTGTATAATAAATAGTAATGATTAAATGATTGTTCATAAATATTTTATTAATTACTTGTTAATAGGATTAAATATATCGCCATTTTGTATTAAATGATTTAATAAAAGTGTTTAAAAATGTAACATAACAAAAATCAATATCAATTGATAGTTATTAAAACATGATCTTCACAGAAATGATTGACTCGTATTTCTTTTTTTAATAAAAATAACTGTTGTTTTACACTTTTAATTTGATTAGAACATCTAATTTGAAATTCAACTAAATTTAATTGCACAAATACAATCATTAATGCATGATTTAAATAATTGTAATATATTTATTTAATATTACTAATTTATAGTCATTCTGATTGCATATAGACTTCATGAAACAATTATTGATTAGATTTGAAAAAAATAAATTAATAACCGAGATATAAAATACGACTTTAATTGCATTTTATATTAACTTATTATTTTAAAAAAAAAATAAAATCAATAATTCAGTTCATGATTGCATATTAAACTTTTAAAATATATGTCTTATTATTATAAATTATAATTTATAATATTACCAAAATATCACGAATAATAATAATTAATTTTGAGTGCTTCATTATTATATTTATAACTATTTACTAAATCAGGAAAAAATATTTTTAATCAAAATGAAATTAATTGATATTTATGTGAAACGTCTCGAAAATAAATATTTATTTAATAAAAAGCCGACAATTACTGAAAAAGTAATATATTATTTATTTCTAATAAATTGTTTAAAATTAATTGTTTCAATGAAATGCGATTACGAGACACAAAAACTATTGTTTGATATATCAATATTTACGGGAGGTATAAGGGAGTACACCCAGGTCATATTTATATTAGCTTTGTTATACGGCTCACAAGTGTATAAACATATATATTTGAATGAAAACAAACTTTCAACTATATGGTTTGATGGCACTGGACTCCCAACTGACCGAGTTATATCTCAAAGTATATTATATGAGAGTTTAAATAAACCAAAAATACTAACTAAATTAAAATATATTCAAATATTATGTTTATTGTCATATTTAATATCATGTAAGTTTAGCAATTAAATTGTAACTACATGTTCAATATTATAAATTTACATAACATAATCAATGTTTATAACCCTTAACTCGGCAGAACAAATTATGAGGCGGGTTTAATAAAAATTTTATTAGTAGTTAAAACAGTATGACTCGAATATAACGTACGCCAAAATGTTAACTTTATATTCAATATTTTAAAAATTAATAAATTAAAAACAAAAAAAAATACAAATTTCAATTATATTTATTGAAATTTAATGAGTTTTAGAGTTAAAAATTTAAATATACGAATTTTAATACGTGCGTTCAATACGTGCGTTATTTTTTTAATTTTACATTGGAACATAATTCCATTTAAAATATACATTGACATTGAAATGAAAATCATAGATTGATCAAATACCTGAAGATTTTGTAAATTTGTTTTAATTGTTAATTAATGCAATGTATAATTTACTCATTAATTTCTTTTGAAAATAATTTTGACAAATAAATATTGGTGCACTCATGTGTGATTTTTACACAATGGGTGCACTTATATCCGGATATAAGTGCGGTAGTTTTGGTGACATGCAAAATTCATTTACAGTCAAACATCTATGTTATCAACAAAACGGTTTGTGTATGGGTTGACAGGACAGAAGTTGTTATACATAGAAATGCTAAAAATTCTAATCAAAATGTTGATATGATAGATTAGTTGACAACATAGAAGTTGACAGCATAGAGATTATTTTAACCATATGTCTATGTTATGTGTATTTGGGTTTTGGGATTTTGTTGATAACAGAGATGTTGACAGCACAGAAGTTTGACTGTATAAGCGAAACACACATTAAATATCTTTAATAATAATCGCCTGTTCTTTCATACAATATAATGCTATACTTAATCCAATGGACTTTATTTACTGGAAAACTGCTTGGTTTGTAAATTAGAAGGTCAACAAATGAGCTGGGTTGATTTGTCAAATATGCCAATCATATTTGAATCATGTTCATTCTGAATCTCTATTTGCTTGTGCCTCAGGCACTTAAAAACTTTTTATGGGATAAACTAGGTTGGACTTTTATTATGTTATACATTATTTTACTCATTGAAAACTACATGTTTTTGGAGTTTTGCTTATCATTTATACCGGTAATAATGATATTTATTTTAACCAGTGTCTTTTTAGCTTTCGGACCAAGTCTTTGTTATGTCCTAATAGTCAAAATATATGCCACATTGAAAACAATAAACTCGATTAACCATAAGCTAAACACTATATTTCAATTGCAAAATGTATTTATGGTTAGGAATATTGATTTGTTTCTAAAAGTCCGGCATTTTATTATTAAACACAACATGTTTTGCAAAGAATTTCATGATTTGAATCAGTTTTGGAGTCAAATATTGTTTTACACCTTTTTGTCTATAATACCAATTAATATCATTTTATGCCATCAATTGCTGTTTGAATCGCTTCCGTTATTAGTCACGATTATAGTTGCTGTGAATGCAGTCATCACTGGTTTGCTTATATTTGTTGTCCAGTTTTATATGGCTTACATATCATTGAAAACTCATTTATCGGCCAAACGTTTGGCACGTATTCAGTGGCGGATCAATGGCTGGCCGTTTCGGCTCACATTTAAACTCAAATTAATGACATATTTTGAACGATTGGCCGCTAATCGCAAAATTGGTTTCACATGTGGACCGTTGGGCACTCTAACTATGCCCTTGTTTTATATGGTTTGTGTAATTTTATATTGACTATTGTTTTATTAATCATATGTTTTATATTTAGGTTACTGTTAAATATATCCGATATTTTTTATTAGCTCACAAATTCTCGTATAAACTCAAAGAATAAACACAAAAACTGCACATTTATTATAGCAAATTTTATGTTTAATACATGGTTAAATATTTTAACAAATAAATCAATTACTGTATTTTATTAGTTTATTAAATTATAAAATCAAATAATTGAATTTAATATTTAAGAATTAATTAGTAATTTTAACATGTTGATTTTGATAATGTTTTTAAAATATTCTACAAAATTTAAAATATTTAGTATCCCAATGATTAAGGTTAGAAGATGCCGGTATTAACCTAACCCAACCCACTTGAAGCCAATCGGGATTATGTGTGTCATTAATGCGACCAAAACCGGCGACCAAAGCGTACTCTTTGCGGGTGTTATAAATGTCTGGTTTTGGGAGACAAACGCTGTTTACCCGCCGATAGTGTGAGCCCTTCGAAGCGGTTAAGTCGAGGGCAGTGTTTAGCTCAATGAGTGCGATGTCATCAGGGTTGTTTTGATTAAATACAAAACCTTCGTGTATTATAATACTCTTGGGTTGGTATCCAATACCGAGATTAGATATGTTGAGAATTCCCGGGTAAATAGTTATGGTCAGGCCATTCCAAAATATGAATAGACTATGAATAGTGTATGTATAATGTATACAATTTTTTTTATAAAATTTGCCTCAAACTGGCCTTTTGGAATCCGCTGGTTATGGTACAAGTATGGGTTAAGTTTTGTATGCATCTGAATTAATTTTAATTTTATTTATTTTGTAATATTATTTTATATTTTCCAATACAGCCTATCATTTACTTACACAACACAGTGAGCGGCGGTTAATATCCACCACTCATTCAATATACTGCCCCCGCACTTCATACTGCAATTACCATGAATGTTAAAATTAATAATAAATTAAATAATGTAATTTATCATAAGTTGCAATACAAAATATAATATAATAACAATAAGATTAACTCACTCACTAGTTATGAAAACGTGCCAGGGTAACTCTCCAACTGTGGCCCGCCTACCATTAAATATACGACTCACTGTATCATCCATTTTATGAAATGGAAAGCAGTTGTTGTCCATCAGTAGTGAATCCCTGGATATCCCGCACTCATCGGTAGTAATGTTGGGATAATTAGCCATTTCTGCGTGAAATGCATTACTTGTCACCCGATATATGCTAAACACTACTATTATTTTATTCATTAAATATACGCCACAAATAATTTGTTTATTTACCTTTAAATATTAAAATATTTGTTTAATGTAATATTTACCCATTAATTGAATGAAATAAAACATTATGCCTTAATTATTATAACATTATGCCTAAATCATTATGCCTGTATTAGTTACAGTATGTTGTATCAAAAGTTGAATTTACTGTTATATAATGTGATAGTCTTAATAAAATTATATTATATTTACAACTCTTAAAACTAAAGGTATAAAAATACATATCAAATATTGAAATGTAAAATATTAGCTTATATACATGTATTCAAAATAATATTAAATACTACACCAAAACATGGATATATTGAAAAGTAAAATATTTTTTGAAAAATTTAAGCTATTGATAGTGATTGTAATCGATATCGGTATAATAAAAAACATGTAAAGTTTATACAAAACTTTATATATTGAATACACAATTAATTGATTAAAAATGCTATTATGTTATTATGATTAAATCAATAGCTTTATTAAATTAAAATTTTTATTATTTAATTTCAATGGATATTAATTAATTGTTTTAGACAATTACAATGAATTATAGTTTAGTTAAACGTTAAGTTTATAATTAGTAATAATAATCTGTTAAATATTTAATCAATTGTTAGAGATTTGTTCAATAATCCAATTAATCTTATCAGATGTTCGCACATAAAAGTTATACTCGTCTACATCGCAGAAATCTTGACTAGCATGAACGATCCCTATCACTACAGCCTTACCGTTTTGCCACTGTATTACTCCACCGCCACTATCACCCTGTTTATAAAACAATTCATAATTAATCTCTCCCTCTCTCTCTCTAACTCTCTCACATATTCACACACTCACTATCTCTCTCTCTCTCTCTCTCTCTCTCTCTAACTCTCTCACATATTCACACACTCACTCAGTTTACTTACTCTACAGACCGACACGCTATCAGCAACTTGTCGTGCAATAATCATTTTACCATAATAATCAAAACGTGTATCCTTTTTCTCCCAAATCCTAATCCATCCCATTTGAAGCCAATCCGCCAAATGTTTGGTATAATTCATTGCACCGAAACCGGCGACCAAAGCGTACTCTTTGTCGGTGTTATAAATGTCAGCTTTCGGGAGACAAACGCTGTTTATCGGCCGATAGTGTGAGCCCTTCGGGGCCGTGAAGTCCAGCGCAGTGTTCAGTTCAATGAGTCCGATATCGTCTGAATTGGTTTGATTTATCTCAAACCCCGGGTGTAATATAAATCTCTTGGGTTGATAACCTTGGCCGCGATTTGTTAAGTTTAGAATAGCCGGGTAAACGGTTATGGTACAAGTATGTCTGCACCTGAATTAATTGTAATTGTTTGTTTTTATAAAATAATAATTTGTAAACAATATATGAATGACCCACATCAAACAGTGTGCGGCGGTTAATATCCACCTTTCGTTTAATATAGTGCCCCCGCATCGTTCACTAGGTTACAAAATGAATGATATTTATATTTTAATAGCATATAAAATAGTATAATAATCTAGTTAAAATTGAAATACTAATATAATAATATTAAGTATTAATAATAAAGTTTATAATAATTTTACTAACTAATATCTTGAAGTAGATTTGTTTATGAAAACGTGCCAGGGTAACTCTCCAACGGTGGCCCGCCTACCATTGAATATACGGCTCACTGTATTATCCATTTTATGGTATGTAAAGCAGTTGTTGTCCATCAGTAGTGAATCCCTGGATATCCCGCACTCATCGGTAGTAATGTTGGGATAATTAGCCATTTCTGCGTGAAATGCATTACTTGTCACCCGATATATGCCAAACACTATTACTATTTTATTTATTAAATATACGCCACAAATAAATTGTTTATTGATTTTTAAATATTAAATTAATTATTTAATATGATATTTACCCATTAATTGAATAAAATATAGCATTATGATTTACTTGTTATTTATTAAGTTATATTGTATAAAAAAGCTGAATTGTTTGTTATATAATGTGTTAATTTATATAAAATTATATTATATTTACAACTCTTAAAACTAATGGTATAAAAATACATACAGTATAATAGTTATCAAATATTGAAATGTAAAACAATAACTTATATACAGGTATTAGGAATCATATTAAATTTACCAAAACCTACTGTAAATATATTGAAAATATGAATATTTTTCTTTATTTTAAATTATATGAATGTTGCATGACAATATATTTACATTCATTAAAAATATTATTTATTTTGCATTCAGGAAATATTTAAAACTTGATTAATTTATTATTAGATCTACAAACAATACTTCATTTTACTTACAGTTATAATATAAATATAAAAATCAATAAGTTAATGATATATTTAGCCACATATATAATAGCCACATATATATGATATATAAACGCTACATAAATGTAAAAGTGTTATTATCTATAATATCAACACAAATAAAGCTAAAAACTATAAATTATATTTATTAAATAAATGTCTAAAATTAAATTAAGCCTTATTTTCAAAATGAATTTAATAGCGATTTTTGTGAAACAATTAGAAAATAGTTATATATTAAATAAAAAACCGATAATTTTTTATAAAATTATATATTATTTAAATTTAATAAATTGTTTGAAATTAATTGCTTCAATGAATTGCGATTACGAGACACAGAAACTATTGTTTGATGTATCAATATTTGCCGGCGGCATAACTCAATTTAGCCAGGTTATATTTATATTAGCTAATCTACAATTTGCGATTGTGTATAAATGTGCACAGGTAAATGAAAGTAAACATGTACCATTGTGGTTTGATGGCATCGGACTAATAACTTACCGACAAATACCCGAATCCTATACCATATTAAATGAAAGCATAAATAAAACCAAAATATTAACTAGACTAAAATACGTTCAACAATTATTTATAATATCAAGTTTATTAATATGTAAGTTATGTGTTATAACAATAGTTTTGTATTTTATAACCAAATGTAATATACTAATAATCACCTAGGTTGGACTATCTCGATGTTCTACATAGACTTACTGATTGAAAATTATACATTTTGGGGGTTTTGTGTTTCAATAATACCGGCAATAATTATATTTATTTTTACATATAGTTATATAATTCTCGGAAATAGTCTCTTATATGCATTAGTTGTAAAAATTTATGCCACACTAAAAACTATGAACACAATTAACCATAAGTTAGACATTATATTTCAATCGCGAAATATCTTTATGGTTAAGAGAATTACTTTATTTATAAAAATCCGTGATTTTATTACTAAACACAACATGTTTTGCAAAGAAATTCGTGATTTAAATCGGTTTTGGAGTCAAATAATATTTTACACTATTTTGTGTTTAATACCAATTAATATCATTTGTTTTCATCAAATACTCTTTGAATCGTTGCCGATGTTATTATTTATTATAGTAGCCATCAGTATATTTGCCACCAGTTTTATCATATTTGTTGTCCAGTTTTTTATGGCTTACATATCATTGAAAACTCATTTATCGGCCAAACGTTTGGCACGTATTCAGTGGCGGATCAATGGCTGGCCGTTTCGGCTCACATTTAAACTCAAATTAATGACATATTTTGAACGATTGGCCGCTAATCGCAAAATCGGTATTAGATGTGGACCGTTAGGCACCGTAACGATGACCACGTTTTATATGGTTTGTGTTCATTTATAACTTTATTGACGTTATTTACTTTAAATTAATAAATTTAATTGTTTCTATTAAGGTATTTGTGATGTATGTCCGGTATTTTCTATTAATCCATAAATTTTCGTATAAACTTAAAGATTAAACCCATAATCTGTAAATAAAAAATTCAATGTAATTCAAAGTTGTTTTGTTCATTAAATATTTTGTTCATTAAATGTACTTTATATTATATTTATTATTTTTCTACTTATATTTATTTTCATTTCAATATGGTAATAGAACATGTGTTTACTTATTAACAATTTAGTTAGAATTTATTATACTTTATAATTAGTAATTATTAATTACTAATCACAATAAATTATATTTTAAAACAAAAGGATTGAAGTTATATTAATAGGTACTGTAATAACTATTGGATACATAAATAAATAGAAAATAAAAATTAATTTAGGTATCAACCATGTACAATTCAAGTTATAATTTAAATTTGAATTTCTACAAATCGTTAGGAAATTATAAATTTAACAAGATGTAAAATCTATTACTACCCTTAAAATTAACATTATGTTTAGAAACTAACAACAACATGGTTAATGCTAATCAATTGCCACTAATTTGTTCAACAATCCAATTAACCTTGGTCGATATTCGCACGTAATAGTCTTTGCCATTATCTCGACAGCGATCACCTGTACTCAGAATGCCTATCAACACAGCCCTACCATTTTGCCACTGTATTAATCCGCCCCCACTATCACCCTATTTATACAATAATCATAATTGATCATTAATCTTAATAATTTATCTTAATACTAACCCCACATGTCATAGCACTATGGTCAAATTGTTGAGTTATAACAAACTGACCCTTCACATCCATTCTATCAAAAGTTGGTCGTAATATCCTAACCCATCCCATCCGTAGCCAATTGGTGTCATGTGTGGCATTCATAAAACCAAAACCAGCCATCAGTGAGTACTCTTTGTCGGTGTTATAAATGTCTGCTTTCGGGAGACAAACGCTGTTTACCTGCCGATAGTGTGAGCCCTTCGGGGCCATGAAGTTCAGCGCAGTGTTCAGTTCAATGAGTCCGATATCGTATGGACTCCTATATCTATAAAAGTCAAAACGTGGATGAATTATAAACCTCTTGGTGCTGTAGCCGATCCCGGTGTTATTCTTGACCAACATTGACGGATAAATGGTTATGGTAATGTTGTTACATTTATCGCACCTTGTTTAATTAATTTATTTGATAAACTTGTTTTTGTTCAAAACATATGCCTTACCAAACACAGTGTGCAACGGTTAATATCCACCACTCGTTTAATATAACACCCCCGCACTCAATACTGGATAATCGAGATAGAATGTTTGTATTTATATTGAATATAATTGTTTAAACGATTTAATTAACATTTATGTTTACTCTAAATTACTTTAAAATATAGTAATTGTAAACTTATAGTTATACTGTATCATACTTACTTGTTTTTATTTTCTATTGTTCGGTTTACAATAACGTGCCAGGGAAACTCTCCATTTGTGACACGTCTACCATTGTATATAGTATTCACTGTATTATCCATTTTATGGTATTTAAAGCAGTTGTTGTCCATCAGTAGTGAATCCCTGGATATCCCGCACTCATCGGTAGTAATGTTGAGATAATTAGCCATTTCTGCGTGAAATGCATTACATGTCACCCGATATATGACAAACACTACTATTGTTTAAGTACGAAATACACGCTATTAATAAATTGTTTACTAACTTTAAAATAAAATTAATAATATAATGTAATATTTACCCATTAATTGAATGAAATATGTAGTCATGCTATAATTGTTCTTTACATAAATAGTTGAATTGTTTATTTGATGTTTTAATTTTTATTAAATTGTAAGATAAAACAAATGATATAAACATTAAAACAAAATATGATATATTAAGTTGTAAAACAATACAGGTATTAGGATTCATATTAAATACTGTATTAAACTAAACGATTTGCTTTGATTAAATGCTATGTTTAATTAAATTATAGTTACATTTTTCGTCATATAACTGTATAGTTTATAATAATACCGATGTTTAACATCACAATCATAATAGTTAAATTAGTTTTATAAATAATTATAAGTTATATAAAGTATACGGTATTTCACAAACAAAATATATCCTGTTTTCAATTTTATATTTACAATTTTAGGCAAATAGAGTGAAAATATAATTAATAATAAATATTTATGACATAAAAATATATTTAATTTCTAAAAAATAATACATTATTAAAATTAATATAATAAGTATTATAATAATATAATATATATTTATATTATAATATTATTATTGTCGAGTATTAACTTAACAGTTAATTATTTAATTAATGAAAAATATATAATTAATTTCATCTTTAAGATAAGGAGTTAACGGGAAATTCAATCACGAATTCTGTCAATAATTACCCGGAAGAGAGAGAGAGAGAGAGAGAGAGAGAGAGAGA